GCCAACTCAAAGCAATATTAAAATCCTTCATCAAAATAGAAATCATTACAAATAATTTTTGGAAGGCAACCTGGCAGTATTTTATGAAATTTTAATGGTTTACCCTATTGTTTACTTATGTAGTAATTTAGTTTATAAAATATTTGCACAACACTGCAAATATCTATGTAAAAACATACTTACTGTCTTTTTCCTTGGTTGCCTAATGAACACTGTCTTAATCCTTTCCTGCTGCTGTAACAAAATACCATAGACAGGGTTATTTGTAAACAGTAGAAATTTATTTCTCAAAGTTCTCTAGTTTTGAGACATAGAAAGGCAATTAGTTTTGCTGCTAGTGCCAAATCAATGTTTTTTAATATAAACATCACTGGAAAATGTGAAAGAACACTTTGAAGCATTAAATCTGTGCTTAGATTCACATCATAAATGTGCATACATCTTTGTCATACATCATTTCATTCTGGTTTTGTGACCAACCACTGCTTCAAATTGTATATTCTGTATGCGACTTAAAGCTGCAAGGCACGTTCAGGAAGAAACCTACATTAAAAAAAAAAAAAAAGAAAAGAAAAAATTTAGTTTAAAAATCTCTGGCTCCAAAGTCATTTGTTTGTTGTTAGTTAAAATGGCCTGACCATTGAGTTATCTAGCTTGTATTTAATTTTCTTCTCTTCCTTAGTGCCCCTCTCTTTTGTGTGTCTTTTAGCATTAGTAGTCCATATTGCAGGCAAACATAAAACACACTCTTCTCACCCTCTCATCTTACCTAAAATTGTATGAGACCTTATATCTTTAATGATCTAAAACTGAAGGTCTGAACTCGTTGCTGAAATTGTTGCTTAATCTTGATGTCAAGACCATATAGAGAGACAGCACGAGAACACACTCCATCCATTTCTCCACCTCTCCTTAAGTAGAAACTATATAAGTAATACTCTATAAAAAGATAAACTAAAGAACTTAAAAAATATCCAGTGCCTTAGGAATTTATTGTTTAGTGGGGAGGCTATATAGCAAACTTCAAACAATCAATGAAAAATATCAGCCACATACAATTAAGGACTGGAACCACGAGGAGGGTTATATGGGCTGGAATGTCAGAGAAAGCTTCGAAAGACAATTGTATATTCAAGGATGGGAAAAATTTTGATAGGCCAAAGAAAGAAGAGAGTGTGACTGAATGGAAAGAGACAGAAATAACGTGTTCTGCAAAGAAAGTCATATTGATATTTTGGTATTGTTCTCTAATTAAAGAACCTTGGGATGGGACCAAAGGGGCAAGAGAGGTGAGATTGGGAGAAGAATAAGGAGAAGAAAAGAGCTGGAGCAGGCCTTTCAACTACTCATGAAAAGAAACCTTCATATTAGTAGTTGTATCTGCTCACAAAAATGTGTCTCTCTGAAGAGGAAGTAAGCGTAAAGAAGACTAACAAGATGGCCCTGTTACTGAAATAAACAAATTCATAATTATAGTTGGAGATTTCAAGGGTCTTCTCTCATTTATTTATTTATTTGGTAGACACTAGTTAGTTTGTTCTTTAT